GGCGCGGGGCGGCACCGGGCCGGCGGGGCGCGTTTACCCTTAGCGGAAAGCAAGGGGAGCGAAGGAGCAGGCGCGGTCTTTGTCTGGAGTTCCCCCCGCGGGCGGCCCCCGGGCTGTTGGGAAGCGCTGCTCCCTCTGTCTGAGGCTGCTCGCTCGCTGCCCAGAAAACTGGTTTGTGCTGGTTTTTGCACCCTAGTGGGGACGTATTAATGTATGTCTAAGTATGCTGTATAGGCTGTCTTGGATATGCACTGATTTTTTTCAAAAATTTCTTTTTAGCTAAAGGAGGAAGCAAAAAGGCGTTGGAGGAAGCAGCAACAGTAGGTTTCCTGCACAAATATTCTTTTCTGATGACGTCATGTACCCCTGCAGGAGGGGAAGGGTCTCTTGAGTTCGTGGGAGTGTTGCAGTAGCAGCGGTTACATAAACACTTTTACAAACGCTGCTTTAAGGCTTAAGAGGAGGAAATACCTGTTGCGTCTGGCACAGGATTTGCCTGCTTACGCTGCTCCTTGCTGGACTTTCCTTACCTGCTTGTTGTCTCTCTCAGGTCCCTGAAAGCACTTGTGCTTTCCAGGGAGTTAAAGTGCTTCTGAATTGGTTGAACAATAAGGCATAGGTGAAGTGTGCTCATAGCTGCCATATCAGGCACGTTAGTCCTGAGGGACGCGCAGGACTCGCGTGTTATTGGCACCACCAGAATAACAGGAAAGGTCCCAGTTTGAGCACAGCAGAAAACACAGAGGTGTTCGTGCTGTAGCACCATAAGGGGTTTGGTCTACAACTTTAACTTGTCAGAACTATATGCTACCGAGAATCCTAATGGTGTTGTGACTGTTTTTAATTTTAGGCAGACTTGGAAATAACAGAAATAAACAAGTTAACAGCAGAAGTTATTCAGACTCCTTTAAAAATCATCAAGAAAGGTCAGTTTGTTTTAAGCATTGTGATGACTTCAGTGAGATGAAAGCATGTCATGATTTACATACTGAAAGTAATAATTCAGTCCTTACTTACTTTCCTCAATATGTTTAAAAATGGAAAAATAATCCTACTGTTATCTCTACTATCTGCATAGCTCTACTTAATTTTATTAAAACATTTAAAGCTATTCAGAATAGCGCTCTGTCAACCATTTGGATTTCATTGGAATTTGGATTTCAGAAGCAAGTTGTTGCCAAAAATGTTTGAGGTTGTTTACTGTTTAGCTCTGCTGATAACTAATAATTTAAAGTTATTTATTTTCAACTTAGAGAACACTTTCTTTTTTTAGTGGAAAAATCTAAACAGGATATTGAAGCTATTGAAGAAGAAGCAGAGCCCCCTTTGCTTCCTGTAGCAAAGAAAGCAAAGCATGATAGCCAGTGTCTTCCAGAGCTAGAAGCTGAAAGCATTCATCCAAGAACTGCAAAGGTAAATAGCTGTTCTTTGGGATGACTTTATTCCCAAGATAGAAATTACTTAGTGGGATGATGGTAACAGAGCTGTCCAGGATACTTTGAGGGGGACTTCAAAACAGCTATCGCTTCCTTGAAAATCCTGGCAATAGGGGAAGGTCACAGAAGCTTGTATGGCGTTTGTTTCTGGGCTCCTGTGCCATAAAAAGGACCCTATTGAGCCAAAGATATTGTAAGGAATCACCTGTCTGTTGTGGACTCGATGTTCCCACAAGAGTAAGTGACTGATTTGGTCAGTAATGTGTGTTTCAGGTGAAGACATCCTCTAAAAAAGTGCCAGTGTCCAGGAGCAGAAGACCTCCTTCAGCAAGAGTGAAGCGTATGAGTAAAAGGTAATAGGGAATATCCTTTACCCTGGATTTCAGAAATGGAGAATAAGCGTATAGTGCTAATATAGCTCTTAAATGGAATGGAGTGGGATTTAGTGGGCTGGTTGGTGTAGTTGTGCTGTGCTATAGGAAAAAAATGATGATCTGACAGTGAATGAAAGACGGGCAACTTCCTCTCCTGAGATGACCAGCTATCTCTAGCTTTGGGATTTACCTTGAATCAGTAAAAACCTCTGGTTTTCTGTGGTGATATCTTAATTCTTAAGTCTTTGATAAGGCAGTGCTTGTACATTTGTTAAAATTGTTCTTATGAGCAGGTGTTTATTTATTTCCCTTTAACAGATCAAGCAAAAACAACTTTATCACTCCAGCGACTGGTAGACCTGTTGACCTCTGTGCTCGGGGAGGTACCTCCATGGTCACACCTAAATTCGATTCCAGGTGTGTATTCTGTTAAATTTCCCTGTTAATCTCTCATATAGGGGAGTGCTTTGCCTCATTTGCTTTGTCTGTCATCTATTTGCATCATAATCCTCAGTGGCTCTCTGAACCCGGCATGAAAGACTTTTAGTCAAAGTGCTTTGAGCAAAGGCAGTGCAATTCCTTGTCTGTAACTTTGTGTTCCAGGATTTTCAAGACGCCGGGTTTGCGCACACCCGCAGTAAATGAACGTGTTTACACCATCTCTGCCAACGGCAGCCCCCTGGCTGACAGCAACGATATCTTCATCACGGTCCCTGTTGGAGGAGGGGAGGTATTTCAGAAACTTCAGTCTGTAAAATCTGTGCTGAGGGGACAGCTCGTAACTCCCTGGGGCCTTACCAGTTTCAGTCCATCCACCGTTGTCCCTTTAGTGGTGCCACTGCGGTTTAGCAGGGATTGATCTGGCTTAGAAAGATTTAGTCAGAGGTGGGAGCTGTTCAAGCTGTCGAAACAGAACGTAGAATCGTGTTTCGCCGTGCGTTAATAGCTTCTGCTGGCAGTGATGCGTTTATGTGCTGCAAGGAAGGTAGGACATGATTTTCTGGTCAAGCAGAACGTAGTTCTCTGCATGTATGTGATCTCTTAGTGTGCTTGGATTTTATTTACTTTTATTTTTCAATTAAATTTTTTTAAATTATAATTTTTTTTTGCAGCTGACCAAACAGAAAACCTAAGATTTGAATTTTTTTTCACAGAGCATTCGTTTAACAGCAAGTGATTTGACCAAGAAGAATCTTCTTGATCTGAATCCAGAGGCCCAAGGAATTATGAAGAAGCTATCAGTAAGTCTATGTGTTTTTGTCAACCATGACCTGAAGTTGTAAGGCAGTGTCGTCTCTGTCGTTAGTCACTGGACTGTTGAGCTGTAAGACAAATTCCTTATTTTTCTCTCCTTGTCTTGTATTTTGGGTCATGTAAGTGGTCAAGAGGAGGCATGAACTGAAAAGGGAAGGAGAGGGAGTGGCTTTATATCACATCGAGCTTAATACAAACTGTAGAAAAACCATCCACTTTCTGAGAAAGAACTGTTGTCAATGGTTTGAAAAACTGAATCAAAACTGAAAGTGCCGTCTGCTTCAGGCAGAAGTTGTAAGTGCTTGTGGGATATAAAGGTGTCTCAGAGTGCTGATTAATTTCCCTTTCCTTCCAGGTTCGTCTTGCACAAGCTTGCAGCGCTGCAAAAACCCAGAGATGAAACTCAGTGAATGTTGATATCCCTCTGTAAATACAGAATGTTACATTTATTACATTTAGTTCTTGTTCTAATTTGTGTCTTCCTTCCATTAATTTACAGAATGGAAGTTAAGAACTAATTTTTCTACCTATAATATGTAATGGGATTAGAATAGATTGCCTTTTTTTTTTTCAATTCAGGAAAAAAAATACTTTATTTCCTATTTCCTTTAAGGTTGAGACCAAGATACAGTTATCTTGGGCTGGCAGACCAGCAAGCTGGGTGGAAAGGCTGTTCTGGTATCTCACGGAAGGCGTAAGCAGTGGACACAAGTGACTGGAGTTCGTGTCTGGGCAAAGAAAGCAGCAGACTGGATTTGTTGCACTCCCTGCCAGGCATGTCCTTTCTCTGTGAACGTGCTTAGAAGGTGATGACTATCTCAGTATAGTACCTGAGATACCTAAAGACAAGTTACTGGTGCCAGGGACTAACTGGAAAGCTTCTTGTAGTTCATGATGCTGCCATGAAGAGCAGTCCTTTTGTTCTTATAGCAGCTATTGTATTTGTAACTAGCTTTGAGGTTTTTATAGTGAACTTGTGCATTTTATTGTTTTTAAAGAAATAAAAGATCACAGGTACTTTAACTTAACAGAATCAATCAGCTAGACTTCTGCTTAGATTGCTGAGAGTTACTGTAGAGCTACTGGAGTATCTCTAATGTGAGAGAACTTTGCTTTTTCTTCTTTTTTTGGCAGTGTGGTTAGCTTCAATTTCTGAAGAGTTATTCTGTATGGATCATACGAAGTCAAATATGTAAAATGGCATCTGCAAGAGACAGCCTGATAATCCTTCCCCTGTTTCAGCAGGGAAGCTAACATGGCAGCATTTTAATCAGCATGTTAAGAGAGCATCCAGAGTAAAGAACTTTGCTTCTTTAACTTTGTCTAAGATTTTTTTTCTAAAAATAAGCCTGTTTCTTTGTTAGCTGGTGCACTGTTCTTTCCAAAGATACCTTTTTTTACTTGATTTAAGCCTCTTTGAAGGGGCTCTAAACAAAGATCTCGAGACTTTGGGAATTTTCCTAGGTTTGGAAAAGTTCTGCTTTTGTCAAAAGCCAAGCCTACAGCATGATTAAGAAGGAATACTGGGAAAAGCTGCTATGAGAGGTAACTTATGCTTTGGTGTAAATCTTTGATGCAGCAAGTGGTTTGGGAGAAAGTTTGTAGAACAACGTTCATACATGAATTTCCTCTAAAAAGCAAACGTGACTGTAATGCAAACCTCGAGTGTGTACCATGTATTTGGAAATCACTGTTTAAGAAGTTTTGGCAGCTTCTGAGTCCTAACTGCAGGTGGCAATATTGTAAACTACTGAGCTACCAATACGCTTGTCTTGCTGTCCTCCTTGAATTCTGTTAACATATTAATCAAAACCCCCCCAAAAAAAACCCAAACCAATCAATTAGTTGAGCTGTAAATAAAACTGTAGCGCACTTGCTTGGATGTAGATGTGTAAGTCTAGATTCTGCTTTAAACACGTCTTTATCAGGAAAAAGGACGACCTGGAATGCTTAGCTAGCCTGGGGAATTCTTCTGTTCATGCTGTTTGCTTTCAAGGGCTCAAGTTACAATCTTTCAGGCCCCACATTGACACACTTGTTACACCATCAGCCATTTCGGTCTCCGGGTTAATGCTGGGGTATGGTATTGTTGCTTAGCAAATCCAGGAATTAATGTTTTTGCTGGCACTAGGCAGTTCTGTTCCTCCAGATTAATGAGTCTTGAGTGGTGAGGAGATGCAGATGTGACTCAACTGCTTCCAGAGGCTTTTCCAACGCGGACACGAAAGCCTTGTGTCCCTGCCTGGCCAGCTGTCCCGCAGCAGAGGCACACACCTTTGGTTCTGACTCTAGATTTGTGTGCTGCACCTTCCTGGTTCTTCTGGAGGGTGAAAGGCTGTATTCGTGCTATTATTGGGGTTAACACGGTATTTATGCCTTCAGCAAAAAACTGCCTGCAAAATAATGTTTAGCACCTGGAAGAAGCAGAATCTGTAGAACTTGCAGGGGGTCATGGCTGCGTTTCAGTTTGTACCTGTTTGGATTGTCTGTGCCGGATTTGCTCTGCAGGGTGTGGAGGTGGGATGGCTCCAGGTTCCTCTTTGCAGGGGTGCTACTGCTGAAGCATCACGTTCCCAGTGCAGTGCAACCAACAATGCTGTTAATATTCCAGCTTCCTTTTCCAATTGTCAGAGTGAGTTAATTGTGCCTGGCATGAATTAAAGCTATCTGGCAGCTAATAGCTAAACAGATTCATCACCTAAATCCATTTTGCATCACCGTGGGTGAGCCATAGTTCATTTTTCTGCAGTTTTACAGCTGATGTGATTTGCATCACTTCTGGCCCTTCTGCACATGACACAACAGTTGCATTTCGTTTAACGATGCTGGAACCTCCTCCCTCTTCTATTCCTTTCAGGGATCATGGAGGCAACACTGGGAAGCTGGCTGACGTTTTTGTGATTCGGGGGAGGTTTTGTTTGTATGTTATTTGTATGCTAGCCTGGATGTAGTGTAAACTGCTCTTTAAACTGAGTGATGGGAAATAAAAAGCAACGCAGGAAAATAACTGTTCTGTCAGGTTGGAAGAGTTTGCATCCATCACTGGCCGGAGCAGTGCAGCCTGCAGGAAGAGACTGACATGAGCTTGTGTCATCTGAGCTGCTGCCAGGTCTGAGATGCTGTGGGCATGGCATCGGGTACTGACCGCGGAACTAGAGCCCGTCTCGAGGGGGAAGGCGAGAGGACACGGGTGTCTTCTCAGGATATCGCTTTTGCGTGTGTTCCTCCCAAGAGCTGCACTGCGTGACCGCCAAGGGCCTGTGCTCTGTGTCAGTAGGTGAGGCTCTGCAGAAGGAATTAGGGCCCCCATATTTTGTAGTTGGTTGTATAAGAAAAAAGTGATTTTTCTAGTTGTAATTTCAGTTATGATGAATACTGCCCAGGGCTGACAGATGAGGCTTTCTTGTAGGACGGTGGTTTGGCAAGTGGTGGCCGTGGCTTGTTAAAAGATTGCTGAGCACTGACTTTTTTAAGATCAAAACCCCTGAGCTGAACCAGAGCTCTTTCAGAATAAGTTTCCCTTGGGACAGCAAGCTGCAGGAGGAGAGCTGGTGGTACTTTCAGCAGCACAGACCCAGGAGAGAGCGAGCAAGAAGCAGGGCATGTCTGTGTTTCATCAGGGCATTAGTAATGCTGAGTAACTACAGTTTTGCAGGGGAAGAAGCATTCCTGCTGGCTGGTGCGGGGCCCCGCCAGCCAACCCCCTGGGCGGGTGGTCCCGCTGGCACCAGGTGGTGCAGCAGTGCCCTGTGTGCTGGGAGGGTGCTTGGGAGTCTCAGTGCTTGTGCTACAGCTTTGCTCTGGGTGTGAGAGCCCCAAAGTTCATCCCAAATTCATAATGGAAATATGAAACTATTAATCTAAAGAAATAACGAGCAGAATAGGTACCCAGTGAGGGACCTTCCCCGGGACGTGCTGACATTGAACTCCCACAAAGGGGCCGTGTGAGATGATGACTCTAATAGGTGGCTCTTCCAGGCGATTTGATAGATGTGCACTATCAAGCATTGTCAGAAATAGCTCCGTACACAAAGCGAGCGTTTATCATCCTGGACACCTTGCAGGTGGTCACTGCTTCGGTGACATTGTAAGAAATGAACAGATAACAATTCCCTGCTTGCTGATAGAAGGGATGATAGTTTAGAACAAATTAGAGCTGTCTTTAGGCAATTTTTTTCATGCAGGAGTTTTTAATTTGAAGGTGCAGGACAACACATGCAATTCCTCCAGTTGACCTGTATAATTCCACCAGAAATGCGTGTCTCCTGGGCTAGCCAAAGGCATAACAAGAGGAACTGTTCCTTAGCATCACTCAGAGACATGGAGGAATTCATAACTCATTTCTCTAAACAGATGATTGGAAGAACTGCAAGTTCAAAAGCGAAATGTGTATCTGGAAACCCTCGCTGTTTTGGTGAGTTTAGTTGAACAGGCTGCATCTTCAAACCTGATGTTTAATGGCAGTGTTTGCAGCTAGCAGGAAAGATGTTCTGCAAAAATTCAGTCATTTGTGGAAGTCTCAGAGGTAAGGGAAATAACAAATAAAAGCTATTGTCAAAAAGCCACATTATTTAGTTATTCAATAGGACAAATTGTCCTGGTGTCCCAGAGTGTTCACAGCTGGACTTTTCAGTATGAGTTCCCACGTAGCGGTGAATCGGAGAGGGCTGTCTGGGGACCAGTGAGAATTTTAAGCTCCTAGTGCCAAGTCTCTGGTGCTCTACACGGTTCCCTTTGATAAGGACTCAGCTGCCGGTGGCCTCTCTCGCTGGGCACGGTTGCTCTCTCCACTCCCATCCCAGTGTGAGTTTCCATGGGTGCAGCTGGGATGTTACACTGGCTCTGCTCTGACTTGAGTCTTCCCTCCAGCAGTTCACAGCTGAGCAATGTGCCGTTTCTAGTGGGGCAAAAAACCAGTTCCACCAGTGAGGCGAGTCTGTGGATCCCGGGTCTGCTGCCAGCTGCGTTCCTGCCTGGTCCCCGTGGCGCAGGATGTGGCCGGCCGCCTTGCTGCTCACCCCGCTCCTGCTGCTGACGCTGCTTAAGCTTCTCTAACTTGGCTGCTTTGGGTTTATTCTCTCCTTTCTTTGTGAGCTCTTTTTTCAGTGGCAGTTTTTTGGTGGGTGGTTTTTTGTTTGGTTGGTTTTTTGCTAACTGAGGAAGATTTAACATTTAATTAACCTGACTGACATAATTTAGCAGTTGGGCACTCAATTAGGTGTAATGTATTAATTAGAAGATGTAGCTGGTGGCAGGTTTTCCAGGCTGGTGTCTCACCACAGGGCAGTGGTGCTGCGCAGTGTTCGGTGTCCGCGCTGCTTCGGGCAGCCGGGCTCTGCCCACCTCTGCCCGTCGTAACGCGATGGTCCCCGTGGGACACCCCTGGCAGCTGATCCCGTA